TCTCACAAAGTTGAAATTAAGGTGTTAGGAGGGCTGTGTGTTCTCTGTTCATGGAAGAATCTGTTTTCTTGCTCATTCAGTTTGTTGGCAGAATTTAGTCCCTGTGACTGCAGAACCAGAGCCAGAGACGCAGAGAATGATGTACAGGCACCAAGGGGGGACACGGGGTGGGGGGCGCAGGGTGGGATGAACTGGGAGGTTGAGATGGACACAGACACCCTAGTGATGCCCTGTATAAGAGACCTGACTAACCAGAGGCCACTCTGTTGCCCCGGGAACGCTGCCCAGCGCTCCGTGGTGACCTAGATGGGAAGGACACCCAGTAAAGAAGGTGTGGATCGCTGGTTCACTCACCCTCATGGCGGAAACGAACACAGCAGGATAAAGCAACTGCATGCCAATACAAATCAGTTTTAAAAGAGCTGAGGTCCTGCTGCCTTGCTGACTGTCACCCAGGGACTGCTCGCGGTTCCCACAGGCCGTGTGCATTCCCTGGCACGTGGCCCTGCCCCATCTTAAACGCCGAAATGACTTCACCGCGTGCTCCCAGTCTCTGCTCCCTTATCTTTACCAGCCAGAGAAAATTCTGTGCTACGAAAAGGCTCACCTGATTAAACTGAGCCCACCGAGGCAGTGCTCTCTTGATTAACTTAAAGGCAGCTGACTGACAACCTTTTTACATCTGCAGAATCCCTTTTGCCAGGTGATGTAATAGTACAGGTTCAATATCTGGTCATATTTACCATTTTAAGGTCCATTTTAAAATTATTTCTACCACACCCACTCTCTCTTTATTTTCTCTGTTTCCTTCACTGATGCATGTTGTGTTTCTTTGACTGCTCCTCTGTATTATTTATATTTTTTATATATTTTCCACATTTCTGCCTTTTTCTTCTATATTTTAGGAGATTCCTTCTACTTTACTTTCCATTTCACTCTCTTTTGAGAAATTTTAGTTTTTTTCTAAGAGCTTTTCTTTTTTTCTTTTAAGAAATGACATTCTGTTATTGTTTTATTAGTTTATGATATAATGGTAACATAATTTTAAACTCACTAGTTACATAATTAAAGTTTTTAGAAGTTGCTTTCTGTGTTCTGAATTATTTCTGTCTTATCTGTTGATCACTTTTACTGTTTTTACCTAAATTTTTAAACTTTTCCGTATTTAATGTTATATATGATGATGCTTAGTTATATGTTCATATTTAAAACAGTGTAACTGAGAGGATGTGATGGGTTTCCTTTGACTTTTTTGAGGTAGGTCTATTTTCTTAGGTGACTGAGGATTTTAACTAGAGGTGAGGCATGAGACTAGATGGCTTATGTGCATTGATAGACCTGGGACCTGCGTGATAAACTGTGGGCCACACAAATATAAGAACAAGAACTTTTGGAGGCTGCTTGCTTTAGAGTCATACTTTGGCTTTCTCCAAACAGATTATTTCTTTTTTTCTTTTTGAGTATGCTATCAAACGTTATGTCCCAGGGGAAAGTCTGGCTGTCGGTGCAGAGACATTAGAATAGAAATCATGTTGCTGATTGGCAAATTTATTTGCTGTAAACATTTTGAATCAATCTTCCTGTTTTTAATATGATTTCTCACTTGGCTCTTTGTTGTGGTGGTTGACTTCGAGACCAAATCCTTTCCAGGTTACTATCAGGGGAATATTTTCACAGCTATTCAGCACTGTCTTTATGGCATATTCTGGCCTGTAGTTTTATCTCTTCTCTTTCATCTGTCAGTCTGCACACATATCCCTTAATCTTTGAAAAGTTTGTTGAAATATCTTTTATTCCTTGATGTACCTCTCATTATTGTCTCTAGTAGGAAGTTATTTATTTTATACTTCAGAATCTTTTCGGAGTAGTTGGAGGGATGGATAAAACACAAATATATATTTCCAGCCTACTATCTTACACTGCAAGTGAAAATTATGGCTCTTTTTTACACAGATAAATTGATGGGTTGTGTATTTTTTGAGTTTGCTGATTTCAGCATAGTAGTTTAGGATAGAAACTTAAATTTCAGTCTAAAACTAGATGTACCATTTTTATTATATACCAGCTACAACGACAGCGACAGTGAAGTAAGTCAGTAGTGTCTGACTCTTTGCGACCCGGTGGACTGTAGCCCACCAGGCTCCTCTGTCCATGGGATTCTCCAGGCAAGAACACTGGAGTGGGATGCCATTACACCCCCTCTTTAACTGAATACTTAACCAGTTACCTTAAGAATACAATGGTTGAAATTAATTGGGACAACATAAGATTGACATTCATCATAGAGTATATCCCATGTTAGTAGTTAATGAACTGTAATTACAACTTTTCTTGGGTGGTGGCAATAGTAAAATACTGATAGTTACCAAAAAATATCAGTTATTTGATCTATATTGTTGGCATGATCATTAACATAATCAAATGCTGATTGAAGATGTTTTCAATGTCATGGGCAATAAGAATACAAAGATATACTGATAAAAGCTGTTTTCCTATAATTGTAATTAAAAATAGTTGCTTCTTGTAACATGTATATAGTATTTTTATGTTGCAATGAGGATAAGATTTTTTTTCAGAAAATATTTCCAATTTTTACTTATAAATTATTTTAATCAGATATTCTCAGGTTCTGTATTTTTTTCCTATGGGTAAGTAGAAATATTTCTTATTTATATAGTTATTTTAAAGGAAACATTGCTGAATATAACATATGTCTGAAACACAAAAGTAGATTTCAGTTTACATAATTATCTTTTAGTATATAAATTTTATAATATATTCAATATTTTCTAATATGTATTTTATGTTTAAATATATAATATATGTTATGCAATCTAATTGCAATATATATATAATTATCTAGTGTGTGTGTGTGTGTGTGTGTGTGTATGCGCTACATCACATCAGTTTTGTTGGACTCTTTGTGACCCTATGGACTGTAGCTTGTCAGGCTCCTCTGTCCATGGGATTCTCCAGGCAACAATACTGGAGTGGGTTGCCCTCCTCCATTTATGTGTGTGTGTGTGTGTGTGTGTGTGTGTGTGTTTGTGTGTGTGTATATGGACTTCCCTGGTAGCTCAGCTGAAAAAGAATCCACCTGCAATGCAGGAGACCCTAGTTTGATTCCTGGATCGGAAGATCCCTTGGAGAAGGAATAGGCTACCCACTCCAGTATTCTTGGGTTTTCCTGGTGGCTCAGATGGTAAAGAATCTGCCTGCAATGTGGGAGACCCGGGTTCGATCCCTGGGTTGGAAAGATCCCCTGGAGGAGGGCATGGTAACCTACTCCAGTATTCTCGCCTGGAGACTCCCCATGAACAGAGGAGCCTGGAAGGCTGCAGTCCATGAGGTCGCAAAGAGTCAGACACGACTGAGCGACTAGACACAGCGCAGCATGTGTGTATACATATATATACATATATATACATATATCTCCCATGCAAAAGGCTTTGTTGGTCACTATGTCTCCTCTCCATTATTCAGCCAAAAATTGATCCTAATTATTGGGATGGTGGTTGATTATTAGCCTTGAGAATAAGAACTTTGCTTCACTTTGAAAATTTAAGTCATTTATCATTATGTGGTTGGGACAACTCTGAGACTTCATACATTAAATTAAAAAACAAAATCAATCAATCAAACAAACAAAAAAACCAAGTACAGACTGAATGTGCTCTGGTTAGGAAAAAAAAAGATGTGTGATCAGTTGCCAGTTTATCATTTGGTTTCCATTTTCTCTATCAAAACCAATTATCTTATTATCTCCATTTATGTGAGCTCTGACTTTATTGTGAAATATTATCGTCTGTGGCAGCACTGAAATCACTTTGTGTTTAACGTTACTGACTTTTAGGACTTTCAGCTTTCCTCTAGAGAGCATGAATATATTCACACAATTTACCCACAGATAAGATATATGAATTTATAAACTGAAAATGTAACATTAAAAAAACTTACTTGATCTCTAACATTTGTCACATTTGACAGCGCTTTTTCTAGAACGTCTATTTTGAACTCCCAATTACTACTTTTTTATGGTGTGTGTTGCTTGATCTTCTTATACTCTCTGATTTTCTTCTAAACCGACACCCTCTTTTTGGAGGGGAGGGACAATCGCAATAATCACTCAGCTGTAAACACTCCAAAACACAAATAACGACCATATTTGTATATCCTTTATTTTCTAAATGGTGTGTCTTTTGGTCTCTGTCCCTGCCTCTAATAGCTGTTTATCTATCCACTCACCTAGCTACCATCTACCTATGTATCATTTATCTATCTTTCATCTGTCTATATATCTCTGTTCCTAGATGTTTTACCAGATATGCCAGCCTGAAAATCCCGAAGGCTCTCTAAAACCAAGCACGTTTATAGCCTTTCCTATGCAAAATGCTCTCTGCTGTTGACCTACAGCGTGCAGACCACACCACAACAATCCCGAAATCGGCTACTTTTGTCAGTTAATAGTAGTAGCAGCAAACCGGCTTCCCGACAGTAAGTCAAGGGACCTCTCAATTTCTGATTTTTTTGTGCCCTTTTAACTTTTACTTTAAAAGTATTTTGAAAACTATCATAACTTGCTTTCTTCAAATTTAATTTATCACCAAGTCATATTGATTTTGATTGAAAATATTTATTAGATATCTTATTTAATTTCATTAGATATCTACCTGGGGCTTCCCATATAGCTCAGTCCATAAAGCACCAGCCTGCAATGCAGGAGTCCTGGGTTTGATCCCGGGGTCGGGAAGATCCCCTGGGGAAGGGAAAGGCTGCCCACTCCAGTGTTCTGGCCTGGAGAATCCCGTGGACAGCGGAGCCTGGCGGGCTCCGGGTCATGGGGATGCAAGAGTCAGACACGACTTGGCACTATCTTTCTTTCTTTCCATTTCATTCTGAGCTCACCTTTCCCAGCCTCCCTTACCTTGTTCCTTCTTGATGAGATGTCTTTCCATCACTACATATTTGCTTTTGTTTTCTGAGACCATGTGGAGAGTCAGTTATGGGGAACAGCGCCGGAAGCGCTCCCGGGGTGACGGAGCGCCGCCGGCGGTGGGAGGCGCGGCCGGCGAGCGGTTCTCACGGCAGCTCTCGGCTCTGACGCTGCGCCCCCGCTCCGCCCCGCGTGCCTCCTCCCCGCACAGGTCCTGGGATGCAGTACTGTTGCGTTAAAGTTACTGAAGACTTTAACTGCCTGTGGTCTTACATCCAAATTCCTCTAAGACCCAGCCCTTTGCTCTCTTTGCCAGCATGAATTCTTTTTTTTTTTCCATTTATTTGTATTAGTTGGAGGCTAATTACTTTACATCATTGCAGTGGTTTTTGTCATACATTGAAATGCATTAGCCATGGATTTACATGTATTCCCCATCCCGGTCCCCCCTCCCACCTCCCTCTCCACCCGATCCCTCTGGGTCTTCCCAGTGCACCAGGCCCGAGCACTTGTCTCATGCACCCAGCCTGGGCTGGTGATCTGTTTCACTATAGATAATATACATGTCTCGATGCTGTTCTCTTGAAACATCCCACCCTCGCCTTCTCCCAGAGTCCACAAGTCTGTTCTATACATCGGAGTCTCTTTTTCTGTTTTGCATATAGGGTTATCATTACCATCTTTCTAAATTCCATATATATGTGTTAGTATACTGTATTGGTCTTTATCTTTCTGGCTTACTTCACTCTGTATAATGGGCTCCAGTTTCATCCATCTCATTAGAACTGATTCAAATGAATTCTTTTTAATGGCTGAGTAATATTCCATGGTGTATATGTACCACAGCTTCCTCATCCATTGGTCTGCTGATGGGCATCTAGGTTGCTTCCATGTCCTGGCTATTACAAACAGTGCTGAGATGAACATTGGGGTGCATGTGTCTCTTTCAGATCTGGTTTCCTCGGTGTGTATGCCCAGAAGTGGGATTGCTGGGTGATATGGCAGTTCTATTTCCAGCTTTTTAAGAAATCTCCACACTGTTTTCCATAGTGGCTGTACTAATTTGCATTCCCACCAACAGTGTAAGAGGGTTCCCTTTTCTCCACACCCTCTCCAGCATTTATTGCTTGTAGACTTTTGGATAGCAGCCATCCTGACTGGTGTGTAATGGTACCTCATTGTGGTTTTGATTTGCATTTCTCTGATAATGAGTGATGTTGAGCATCTTTTCATGTGTTTGTTAGCCATCTGTATGTCTTCCTTGGAGAAATGTCTGTTTAGTTCTTTGGCCCATTTTTTGATTGGGTCATTTATTTTTTTGGAGTTGAGCTGGAGGAGTTGCTTGTATATTTTTGAGATTAATCCTTTGTCTGTTGCTTCGTTTGCTATTATTTTCTCCCAATCTGAGGGCTGTCTTTTCACCTTGCTTATAGTTTCCTTTGTTGTGCAAAAGCTTTTAAGTTTCATTAGGTCCCATTTGTTTATTTTTGCTTTTATTTCTAAAATTCTGGGATGTGGGTCATAGAGGATCCTGCTATGATTTATGTCGGAGAGTGTTTTGCCTATGTTCTCCTCTAGGAGTTTTACAGTTTCTGGTCTTACATTTAGATCTTTAATCCATTTTGAGTTTATTTTTGTGTATGGTGTTAGAAAGTGTTCTAGTTTCATTCTTTTACAGGTGGTTGACCAGTTTTCCCAGCACCACTTGTTAAAGAGGTTGTCTTTTTTCCATTGTATATCCTTGCCTCCTTTGTTGAAGATAAGGTGACCATAGGTTCGTGGATTTATCTCTGGGCTTTCTATTCTGTTCCATTGATCTATATTTCTGTCTTTGTGTCAGTACCATACTGTCTTGATGACTGTGGCTTTGTAGTATAGTCTAAAGTCAGGCAGATTGATTCCTCCAGTTCCATTCTTCTTTCTCAGGATTACTTTAGCTATTCGAGGTTTTTTGTATTTCCATACAAATTGTGAAATTATTTGTTCTAGTTCTGTGAAAAATACCGTTGGTAGTTTGATAGGGATTGCATTGAATCTATAGATTGCTTTGGGTAGTATAGCCATTTTGACAATATTGATTCTTCCAATCCATGAACACGGTATATTTCTCCATCTGTTTGTGTCCTCTTTGATTTCTTTCATCAGTGTTTTATAGTTTTCTATGTATAGGTCTTTTGTTTCTTTAGGTAGATATACTCCTAAGTATTTTATTCTTTTTGTTGCAATGGTGACAAATCATAGAAGAAATCAAAAAAGAAATCAAAATATGCATAGAAATGAATGAAAATGAAAACAAAACAACCCAAAACCTATGGGACACTGTAAAAGCAGTGCTAAGGGGAAGATTCATAGCATTACAGGCCTACCTCAAGAAACAAGAAAAAAGTCAAATAAATAACCTAACTCTACACCTAAAGCAACTAGAGGAGGAAGAAATGAAGAACCCCAGGGTTAGTAGAAGGAAAGAAATCTTAAAAATTAGGGCAGAAATAAATGCAAAAGAAACTAAAGAGATCATAGCAAAAATTAACAAAGCTAAAAGCTGGTTTTTTGAAAAAATAAACAAAATTGACAAACCATTAGCAAGACTCATTAAGAAACAAAGGGAGAAGAACCAAATTAACAAAATTAGAAATGAAAATGGAGAGATCACAACAGACAACACTGAAATACAAAGGATCATAAGAGACTACTACCAGCAGCTCTATGCCAATAAAATGGACAACTTGGAAGAAATGGACAAGTTCTTAGAGAAGTATAACTTTCCAAAACTGAACCAGGAAGAAATAGAAGATCTTAACAAAACCATCACAAGCAAGGAAATTGAAACTGTAATCAGAAATCTTCCAGCAAACAAAAGACCAGGACCAGATGGCTTCACAGCTGAATTCTACCAAAAATTTAGAGAAGAGCTAACACCTATCTTACTCAAATTCTTCCAGAAAATTGCAGAAGAATGTAAACTTCCAAACTCATTCTATGAGGACACCATCACCCTAATTCCAAAACCAGACAAAGATGCCACAAAAAAAGAAAACTACAAGCCAATATCACTGATGAACATAGATGCAAAAATCCTTAACAAAATTCTAGCAAACAGAATCCAAGAACATATTAAAAAAATCATACATCATGACCAAGTGGGCTTTATCTCAGGAATGCAAGGATTCTTTAATATCTGCAAATCAATCGGTGTAATGTACCACATTAACAAATTGAAAGATAAAAACCATATGATTATCTCAATAGATGCAGAAAAAGCCTTTGACAAAATTCAACATCCATTTATGATTAAAACTCTCCAGAAAGCAGGAATAGAAGGAACATACCTCAACATAATAAAAGCTATATATGACAAACCCACAGCAAGCATTACCCTCAATGGTGAAAAATTGAAAGCATTTCCCCTGAAATCAGGAACAAGACAAGGGCGCCCACTCTCACCACTACTATTCAACATAGTTTTGGAAGTTTTGGCCACAGCAATCAGGGCAGAAAAAGAAGTAAAAGGAATCCAGATAGGAAAAGAAGAAGTGAAACTCTCTCTCTTCTCAGATGACATGATCCCCTACAAAGAAAACCCTAAAGACTCTACCAGAAAATTACTAGAGCTAATCAACGAATACAGTAAAGTTGCAGGATATAAAATTAACACACAGAAATCTCTTGCATTCCTATACACTAACAATGAGAAAACAGAAAGAGAAATTAAGGAAACGATACCATTCACCAGCATGAATTCTTTCCTACTCCTTGCTGTACTACAGAAAAACCAAAAACCAAAAAACAAAGCGTTTGCATTTCCCACCCAAATCGGAACAAAACAGCACAAAGAAAAGGTGAAAATTGTCCGCTACTTACTGCTATCACTGCCTGTGCCCGATGCACCCACCTTTTCTTCTTGTCTTCCTAGCTCACCTTTCAGAACTCCTCCCCAGTTTAAAACCCCCTCCATGAAGGTGTCCTCAGAGAACTGGATTCTCTCAAGCCTCTGCATTCCCTCTGCCTCAAGGAGACACTTCAATTATAGTACCTGTCAAAGTAAAATTCAGTCATCTTTTACATGTTTGTTTATTCAACTAGGTTGAGTTTGTTCAAGTCGGGGCCTGAGATATTCATGCCTGCTATTTCTGGTGCCCAGCTCAATGCCCAGCATTCTAAGCGTTTAATACAAGTTTGATGAATGGAGAGATGGATGGGTGGGGAGATGAATGACAAAAATTTGATTCTTTCTAAAAATAATTGCTTTGAATATACCATTAGTCTTGTTCTTATTTCAGTGCCAACAGTTCTGAGAGATTTCAATGACATGATTTTTCTGACCCTGGAAATAAATTTCTATATTTTACAACTCCAACACAAAGAACTAAAAAAAAAAAATCTCAAATTGTGCATTAGATTCTGTTACATTTTTAAGATTTGAGAAATGGAGGGAGAAGCTAATGGAAATTCAAAGGAGATTTGAAGGACAACTCAGTAGTTACCTGTAAATAAGAACATTCTGTTTATTTTCTTCTAGTTCACTAAGGAAAAAATACTCAACAACATTGGGGGAAAATAGATCCTGCATTTTAAGTCACAATAAGCAACACTAATAAGCAGCAAACCTCAGAAACCTGTCAGCTGAAAGGAAGATGCGGCATTCATTTTATAAACAATTCACTAGAGCATCAACAGTCAGTCTGACAGAGAAAGGAAGAAAATTTCAAAGATACATCTATTTTGCTGAATAAATCTTGAGCAAAATATTGTGTAAGTTGTACAGATCTGGAGTAAAGGCCATGCAAATATGATGCCATATCTCTAACATTAGATAAATAATTTTTTTGTTGAGATACATTCACTTTGAAATTTGAAAATTATCTTAGTGTCATGAATATTAATTCCTTTCCTACAATAGAATATTTGAATAGATGTTACAAAAGACTTTCTAATGATGAAAAGAATGAGGTATGGTGATAGAAATAGTAAGGCACATGTAATTATTTTGATATCAGCAACCCGACTCTGGTGATAACAGAGGAAGTCATGAAAATGAAAACTGATTAGAATTATTGACAATAGATCAACTCATGTGATTATCCATGCAATTTATTAAGAATGCTTGGACTTAATTACAGAGACAGTTAGATTAAAATTCAATGTAATGAGATTCTTATCATAGTTAAGGGTCTCCAAAAGCAACTCCTTTGATTTAGGCACAGATCTGATCTA